AGGACAGCAGGTTGTTGCTGCGGTTGATTTGGTACTTAATCCGGCATTGCAGAAGCTGGTTTGAGTTTCCGGCTGGGAAGTTCCAGGTTGTCACTACTCAGCACTCTCACCACTTGTTACGGGGGTTTATTGAGGTACACAGCGACCAGGAAAATAGCAGCAACAGCAGGCAAAGTGCAGCCAGGAAGCGAACAGCCGAGCGAGCCAGGCGTTGGCGCATGTGTCTATCTTCTTCCTCACAGATGCACCAAGGTGCTGTTCAAGCTCCCTTTGACAAAGATCCCACCGCAGTGAGCACAGTCACCTCAACGTGTGGATTTTCTAAATGTGCCACTGAGCTTTCCCGTACCGTCTCACGACACTGCGTCATGGTCAATGCCTTAGAAGTGTCTAGCTCTGCAGTATTTCCCGCTGTGGTGTTAACAGTTCACAGAGGACTCTACACTTGCAATCCTGTCGGCACTCAGCACCACTGACGCCATGCTGGAAGCGGCTACCTCACACGACCTGGAGGTCAGCCCATCCAAGCGAGAGCTCCAGTGTGGCCTTATGCAGCTCTCGCACCAGCTAGGCTGCTTCGCATTGGATGTCCACTGGATTTTTGCCTGTCATCCTACCATCGCCGGCAACCTGCGAAGTGCAGAAGCTCCACGGCTTTGAGAACAACACTGACGACTGGGTGATGAACGTCAACGCTGCAGCAGTGTGCAAGGCGTGGACCGAGCCACAGAAATGGTCTGTGGCTGTAGACCGCCTTCCATCGGTGCTCAGTGACCTACTGCAGGAACTTTAAGCTGCAAAAACGGATCTGTACCTTGCTGGTCTTAGCTATTTAGATACTGCAGGAGGGATAAACAAAATTGTCTTGAAATTACCACTGGGCTTCAAGAGAACTGAATTTCAGTGGGAATAAAAAACAAACAACAGCACAACACTGAATTCTCTCCCTGTTTGGTTTTCTTCAAGTCTATTGAAGATGAGGCATGCATGAGGAATGATTCTAGGTTCCTCTAGCAACCACAGAATGTGTCGTTTTCATTCACACAACGAAAAAAGAGAAATCACCACCAAGACACCATGGCAAACATCCTCCGTGTCAGCAAGAAAAACAAACTTGGATCATGACATCAAACAGTTTCAAGAAACCCCACCAAAGGAGTGTTTGAGACGGAGAGCTTTGAAAAATGGTGCTCAATCTTGAGAAATGTCACCCCCTTGAAAGATGTTCCCCTTTTCGTAAAGAGATATAGGAAGAGTGGATAACTTTCCTCAAATAGCAGGGAATCTTCCCTCAATGTTGTTTATTCACAAACCACAGGCAGTGGCAATGCAAGGCGGTTGTAAAGTGTTATACATGCAGCAGTGGCGTTATCCATCCTTCGCAAGCGCTCCCGAGATAAAATTTGTGACAGCATACAATATGACAACTTCAATATGCTGTTAAGGATGCTCCTAAACATTTTTTGAATTCATTCACTAATAAAATTGGTCATTGTTGATGGCTAATAAGATGTCAGCAGGTTCTTTGGCACTTATCAGGTGCCTAGGAAAGCAATGTGTTCGTCCTCTTCATATATGCCTCGATTCCACCACTGCTTCTGCTCTTTCAAGGTTGGCCATTCCTCGATCTTCTTCACTTGGTTCTTCGTCCAGCTTCGGAATGCTGCCGAACAGCTCCACTAGCTCATCCTTGAATGCCCACTACTGTGACCGCTGTCTGTAAGTTCCCTCTACAAACGATTGCTGGCAAGGCTCCTTGTTCATGCACGTATCGCCACTTGACCACCGCCAAAAGAGGCCTTACTCATTGGATCCTGGTTAGGTTGCTCCACGTCATCACCATCGATTGGGCTTTATTGCCTTCCACTTCGATCAAAATGATTCCAAAACGATCAAAATGGGTGATCGTCGCTGATTATCGAAACAGCAGTGATCACTCATTTTGCTTTCCTCCGCTGGTATTTTCTCCCAAGTCGCTTTGCCCTTTCGCCGAGCCCCACTTACAGTCTCCCGATGCGTACGTCATCGCTGACGCGCTGCTTAAAACACCATCTATTTCCGGTTGCCGTGACTCCAGCCATCAACTCTGTCAGTTGTGTTGCAGCTGCGTGCTTGTTGCCGAACCATGGCTGCCATAATCGTGTCGGTATGGACCCTCCGTTGCACGCACGCCTTCAAAAGATCACCAACGCGATGGACCCATACCGGGACACGCCGACTCTCATAGCTGACCCGTGAGCGGGTGCACCTACGCCGGTAACACGACGAACAACAACTAGCAACGCGGACTGACTGAAAGTCCTAGGCTTTCGCTCGACCAATCAGCATATTTGGCTCGGCGTGTCAGAGATATGGCACGGCGCGTCACGCTGAGTCCTGAAAGGAGGAGAAATTGTCACTCAGAATTTGTGCCGCGCCGGCGGCTCGTAGCGTTGCCACGTGTAGAATCGTTGATCGCGAAGCCATTCTGCACATGATGCGTGTGTTTACTTAAAATGTATGAAGAAATATCGGAAGTGGCTTACGGACCCTTTTATGTGTCAAAATGAAATCTGCTGTGGTCGTGCACCCACAAAATTGGCTGAGAACTCGTTCCATTCCTTTACAGTTTGTGGGAAAAATGTGTTGTGAAACACATCTGTTCGGCAGCTTTAGTTTTGTTTTTTTTTTTTTTGTGATGAGAGCGTGTGATACACTTACGACAGGTTGAATGAAATGATCCTTTTCTATTCCTATTTTAATATGATAAATACTGTATAGGTCCCCTAGTCTTTCCATTTGATGTCACAATTCCAGGGGTTCCAGTTCAGCCCTCTCCACTAGAATACTCACCGATGTCCGCCAGCTGTAAATTTTAAAAATAAAGCATACGGATTTTCTTTGAACAGTTTTTAAGAGGCCGATTTTCCTTTTTGTGTGAGGGTCTCATACTATAGATGTAACTTTGATGATTGGTCGGAGAAACGTTTTATAGGCTAATAAATAGCTTCATACCTTAAGTAGCTCGGCACAAAGCTCATTTTAAGTATCCTAGTTTACTTATTACTTTTTTATTTGACTGGAACGACGTTCTGCATAACTGTCATAAAAGTTGTGCTTCTAGCGTCTCCATGGTCTACAGTGGTGTGCAACGGGAGCTTCCACCAGTGTTTAGCGAGCACAGCACATAGTGTTGGAAGGGCTGATTGCCTTGAACAGTGGTGGGGCTTAGGATGTGTGTGGCGTTCTTGAAAAGCCTCGGTCGCTAATGCTTTCGAGAACTTTGAGGCCACGTGCCGCTGCTTGCAAAGTCCTCTTTGCACCTTGGCTCATAGAGAACTTTATGTCTCAATCCGTCTTTATGAATTCGTACTGCTTGTTACAGTCTCAAGTGCCCCATCAATTTGTTCATCCATCGCTTTGTATCCTTATAGTTGACTTAAATGTTTTGGTTTAACCAAGATTATTGCATTTGTCTGGCTGGCTAAGCAAAGCGTTTTTTGCAATTATGTTAGAACAAGTCACTGCGAGGCCAGCACAGCAGCGGTATAGGGTGTACGGGACATTGCCTCATCGACAGTCTGCGCGCGAGCAACGAAACCACCTCCAGACAAGAAGCGACAGCAAATTTGCTGCCGACTGACGAAAACAGGTTGCCTTCCCACTTTTCCTGAAAGAACTACTGGATTGTGCGCAGCATAGAATTTACTATAGATACACGAGAGGGAACTCTGGCGCTGGTGGCTATGGGAGGTGCAACACACGGTGCTTCAACCAGCATGGGAATGATGGGCAGTACACAGGCTTGTCTAATCTTCGTTCTTTCAGCTCGGTTTGGCATTGCATGGCTTGGAGCTTGTGAAGTAACTTGTCAAATAAGCTGCAAAGCACGGTGCTTGAACTAGCATGGGAATGATGAGCAGTACACGGGGTTGTCTAATCTTCGTTCTTTCAGCTCGGTTTGGCATTGCATGGCTTGGAGCTAGTCAAGTAAGCTGCAACGCATGGTGCTTCAACCAGCATGGGAATGATGGGCAGCACATGGGCTTGTCTAATCATCGTTTTCCAGCTCCGTCTGGCTTTGCATGGCTTGGAGCATGTCGAGTAGCTTGTCAAGTAACGACAATCAGCAAATGTTCAGCAATTGCACCTAAACTTTTTAAAAACTCACCAGTTTAATTCAGGTCACGAAGTTCACAATGGTGCATTCTTTTATTGGAAACAAGAAAAAAATAGAGCGGATAAAGCCACACGTACGTTCGAAGCCCGCTAGCACGAAGACTCGGCAAATTTGCCTACTACCCATCATTCCCAAGGTCGCTTAACGATCGCAGTTAATCTTAGGAAACTCTATGGGGCGCAGTAACAAGGACCAGACTGCACGTGAAATGTAAAGTGCAGGCTGTGCTGGGGTGCCTTCGATAAATACAACTGACAGCGAGTGCAACTAATAAATTTAAACCAAAGCTTTGTTACTTGAGGCATACGTCGCTAGAAGTTTTGATCATTTACCTGCCCCTGGGCACCCCTTTCTCGCAAATGAAACCGAAGCAGTCGGCATTAAGCCTTCGTCCACGTTTCACTTTTCTCTCCTTCGAGTGTGGACGCGTAAAGCGAATGGCTCACACATGTGAAGCACGCTATCGGGTTAAAGGGGATGCTTCTTCACAATCGGCCTACGTGCCACTCGCATGTGGGTTGCAAAGGAGCCGCCCGAGGTAAATAAACGTGTCGTCATAACCCATTTCGCGACCAGTTTCGGATCGCATCGCGATGCTGCTAAAAAAGGAGGCGTTCCTGAGGAGCGCTGTGCTGCTGCTCGCTGACGACACGGAGTAAAAACGTCGTGCGCGCACACACGGGAAGAGCGTTCGTGCTCGAGCGAAAAAGCTAAACTTGAACGCGCCTCCGAGGTATCGACTGAGCGAGAGCAACCACACGCAAACAGTCCCACTTCGAGGCCACAAATGTGCAGTGCGCGAGTACTGCATCGACCAGGCGCAATAAACGGCACCACTCACCCGTTCTTTCGCACGTCCTGCATGTTTTTGGACGACCTTGGTAAACGATCCACCTTTGCCGTCTGCCATGTTGGCTCGCTACTGCTCCAGCTCTGAACTACAAACAAACATGTGTCTGTTTAATATTCATTAGTTAACTTTAATAAATTATTATAATTTTAAAAAACAAACGAGGTTACTTTTGTGTCAGTAAATAACTTTTTTTGTGCTAATCTTTTGCTGCGGAACCAATGTTGTGCTCGCCATCATTACTAAGGGTTTCGCCTTCGACCGTGCGATCAAGGGAAGCCGGTATGGGTTTTTCTGTTATTGTATTAATCTTGAAGAAAAGCGCCCGTTGCAATCACCGCCCGTTGAGGGGAACTTAGCTTTAAACAGCGTAAATTATTTTTCCTCCTGTCGTGACGGCTATGCTCGAAATTGTGCCAGTCGTGGTCTCGGGCGCATCGCCATTAGAGGCAGCCGCATAGCCTCCGTTTACCTCTTATTACTCACGATAGCTTCCACCTCGTGAATGTCGTAGCATTCAGTTCAGATTTGTCGTGTGCTTATCTCTAAGCGCTACGACTCATCTGCTGTCGGCCATGGCAGCTGAGGATGCGCCCGTGATTTAGCGGATCGTACCGTTTGTACACAACGCTTGCAACCGACCTGCCAAAGAGACTGAACAGTGTTTCGTACCTGACCGTGTTCGTTGTATCAACAGGGTGATAGAAAATGTGTGGAACGGATCCTTGGATTACGAGCAAGCATTTGATTCGGTTGAAACCTGGACAGTCATGCAGCGTTACGCAATCGTGTTCTAGATGAATCCGGTATGAAAATAGGGGAGTCCATGGAGGAAGCAACAAAATCTCGAAATTTGTGAGAGATCAGCACGTAATTGGAAAGTCAGGGCGTGGCTAGTGAAAGAAGCACACGCATGTCGTCGCATCTATCCGGTGTTTGAGTGAAGGTTTAATACAGTGTTAGGTAGAGGGAGGTACTATCTTTTCAGTGGTACCCACTGCATGTTGACGGGAGGTCTTTAGCATAGAGTTCCCTGCCATAAATATACACTAGAGAGAACTCTGGCGTTATGGGAGCTACAATGCATGGCGCTTCAGCGAGGGAATGATGGGTAGTACGCGGACATGTCTAATCTTCGTACTTTTGGCTCTATTTGTGTACGTGTGGCCTGGAGCTGTTTTCTTATGGAACAAAAATCGGCTAATGTTCAGCGATTGACCTTCACCACCTTGACATTTCAAATCGGGTAACGAAGTTCAAAAAGGTTTTCTTCGAAATACACAAGGTGTGTACAGATCCTTGAAAACCCTTGAATTTGAAAAATGCATTTTCAAGGCCCTTGAAATTTCTGTAATTTTTTTCCATTCTTGAAAATCCTAGAACTTTGTGAGCAGTGCACTTTCATATCGACATCACGACCTCCTAAATTTCATAGATCGATGTTTCAACCTGTCAAGCTCCCCAATTCCAAAGTGTGGGCACACACTGTCCCATTTTGCAAAAAATGCGTGTGATGAAGAGAGTTAGTTTTGTGGCGAGGGCAAAGCAGTGAATGCGATAGCAAGAAGTTTAAATGTCACACAAGGACAATAATTATAGCGCGAGAACAGCGTTAGTCGTTCTATTCTCGCTCTATAACTATCGTTATGTCATACCAAATAGCCCAAACTGCCACACTTCTAAGTCACACGAAGAAAGGCAAGCAACTCCATACATGCAGCGCCACTCAAGCATAAAGGATGAACGAAAAGAAAGCGCACAGGACGAGTGCTGATTAACAACTGTCACATATCAACACTGGAAACGAGCTGCTTAAACACCAAGATAGATGTAGTCAAGAGTTTGATGAAAGCTCGTGTGGTCGGGCATTAAATGAGTTGAAACATGGTCACTGACCAAGTCTGGTGATGATATGACGTTTCGGAACCACATACGAGTTGCTTGTTCACTGACAGTAAGTGAACGAAAGAACTCTTATGCGATGACATGTGCAAAGCTTTGTGATCACGTGATTAAGTCAGCTACACTGCTACGTACCTGTCCAACTAGGTGCCCACAAACAGTAACTGAAAATTGTCCATATCAATAAGGTGATAAATTACTTAATCGGAATAAATAAATCTAGGTGCGTGTATTGTGCTTGTTGGCGCTATAATTAACGCTTGCAGCAAAGAGTGCGCAAGGCACAGATATTGTGGCACCACCCCTTTAAGGCCTGACCACACGTACGTGTTGCAGCCCGTCAGCGTGCAACTTTTTGTCACTGCACCGTGCCCTCTTTATGTGGAGGGAGCTGGTGCGAGAATTTAATAAGACTAGGTTTTTTTTTCGTTATAATTGAGGTATAGAATAATTTATTGTACGTGCAATAAAATTGGTCATATTTAATAATTTTAGAGCGAAATATTCTGACTTAGCATGCCACATTGAAAAGCTTGCAACAGGTCATGGAAAGTCCTTAAATATCCTCGAATTTTCGCTTTATAAACCTGTATGAACCCTGAAATAAACGAAGCCACATAAGCAATTCGTCGCTCGCAAGTACGAAGACTAGGAACACTTGTGTACTACCGATAATTTCCATGGTTGCTGATTGATCGCAGGGCCAGTCCCTCCTTTAGTTACTTAAGGAAACTCTATGGTCTTCAGAGCTTTGGAAGGGGAAGCGTGTTCTACCCATCATTCACTTGGTCGCTGAACGATTGCCGGGGCCAGTCCCTCCTCTAGTTAACTTAGGAAACTCTATGGTCTTCAGAGCTTTGGAAGGGGAAGCGTGTACTACCCATCATTCCCATAGTCGCTGAACGATCTCAGGGCCACTCCCTCCTCTAGTTAATTTAGGAAATGCTATGGTCTTCAGAACTTTGAAAGGGGAGGCGTAGTTCTTTAGGTAATTGATCAGCAAGGCTAAGGTGCAGAAAAAAGGCATTGACTTAGGTCGGCAAACGACAGGCGCTCTGATGCCAAAGGCCAGGATAAGTATGTTAGGTAGACCAAAAGAAACAGAAGGACGAAACAGCTGGGATTATGGCAACTACCGCATGCACGGACCGGTACTTTTTAAAAATGTTTTGGCGCTTAAGATTGTAGGGGACCTGCTGTTGCAAGAATTTCTCTCCCATTTCGTCTGCACAGCTTTCACAAATGACGTGGCCATGGTTGTTAATAAACAACAGAGGCTCCCTGTCATTAGGAATGACAACCGCATGTACAGTACTCAAAGATTGCAATAGGACACTCTGAGCATGTGGCCGTCAATACATGTACCGCGTCTTGTGGGTGCTCGTGACACCAGTGTGTTGTGTTGAATGAGGGGGAGAACACCTACGGAGGAAAATTACTCCTTCCAGACAGGGTCGCCGAACTGTTTGTTCATCATGTGCTGCACACTGCCAGCATGGCGCTGGAAGGCTCTCTTGTCAAGCGAACTGGCTTGCAACTGCACTCCACTTACATTGCAGACGACCCTCTCGTTCTGTGGGCTTCTACGATGGGGTATGCATTCAGTGCAAGTAAGACGTAGGACTCAGCGAGAAATTCGTAGACACGATAAACATCTGCGTAAACGTATAGAAAGTTTATCTCATGGTTTCTGTCATGACATGAAAGAAAGTGAGTTGCAAACCTGCCTTTGTCCAACATGAAAACAGTATTCTGTATTATTGTCTATGAGGCAAACTGTGGCTATCTTTGAATAAAAAGGGCAAAACCTGGCTCGTTCTTCAAGGGCTGATAGCCCCGCCTCAGTGGTATAGTGGCTAAGGTATTCGGCTGCTTACCTGCAGGCCGCGGGATCGAATCCCAGCTGTGGCGGCTGCATTTTTGATGGAGGCGAAAATACTGTAGACCCGTGTACTCAGATTTGTAAGAACTCCAGGTGTTGAAATTTCAGGAGCTTTCCACAACGTCTCTCATAATCATATGGTGGTTTCGGGACATTAAACCGCACATATAAATCAATCAATTTCAGGGCTGATAGCTCTATGAGAGTTTACCGCACAGAATTGCCGCAGTATCGGCTGCCCGGGGAGAAAAATCAAAATACTAAGACTTTTCAATCCTGCACAAAAACAGGCCAGTGAGTGCTGTTTTTTTTTTTTTTGTCGTGACAAAAAGCATGACAAGCTTTCTATGATTTCGTGAAGCTATTTATCATGAAGCCAAATGTTCACCTTTGAAGGTATTTTTAATGTCTGTGAACGCACCTCAGTCGCAATTTCTTAGCTGAGTCCCGCTTCTTACTTGCGCAGCATGCGTGCCGCGTTATCAAAGTGTGTGGAATGAGAGCCTCGTTTGCTCGCGTCACAATATCAATGGCGTGCACCACCAAGCCTATTCGGGCGGCATGCGAAAACATGCGAGTCTTGCAGTGCCATGCTGGCAGTGTGTACTTTGTGAACTAAGTGCCGACTTTTTAGCGACCAGAAGGAGTAATCCTGCTCTGAGGTATTCCTCTCATCACTATTGCATGCAACACCTTTGTTCCACGAGCAGAGACACATGTACTAGCGGCCACGTGCTCCGAGTGCCCCTGAATTGTGAGTAGGTGCTAACAGACAAGGACGTAGGAGAGTACTGACATGGACAGAGCGCTAACTTCAACTGATCTTTTATTTTTGCACGAACCGATAAATATATGCCGAGTGAGTAGAAATAACACGAACAAACATTTTTGTTGAGTTTATATATATGTGTGAAAGTGTGTGTGTGTGTTTCTAGATATATATATATATATATATATATATATATATATATATATATATAGTAATGAATAACGAGGCTGAGACAGCATTCTTGCTGCGGGCCAGCTGCTCTATTCTCTCCTTTGTCTTCCTTTACCGCGCCCAAGCTCCCGCGCGCCTGAAGCCTAGTCTCGTTTTTGGTCATTACACTCTGCCATGACTTCGAGCGCGCGGACTGCTGAGAATGTCTCCGGTGGGTGGCACTGGCCGTTTCGTAGTGGCAGGGCTTGGCCATGCTTTAACTTCATTCGGAAGTTTTTCAAAGATGGTTCCGGTGTCGCGGCACTGCCTGTTTCGCGGCGGCCGAGCGCAGGCATGCTGTGACTTGGCACTGTGACTGGAATTGT